TACATATATCAGATCAGATATTCAGGAATGACACTCGAATCTAGTAGGTACCTATTTATCAATAACGACTCGTCATAATGCTGTCATGGTCATGGCCAAGAATTGAAAATAAGTGCTTTCACAGTGGCAATAGTTCCATATTTCGGTTTCACAGAACTAGTGCAGCTATAGTGGTGAAAAAATTTTATATTGGTGTATATAAACACCAGGTTTTTGGTTCACAGACCCGTATCTAGAAGGAGGAGGTAGGTAATGTGATTTTGAACCGAGTTTTGAACATTTCAACCCTATATACTAATTCGAAGTTGGATATTACAGAAAATCGTTTATTTTTCATATTGCCGAGTCAATAGTTATTTATTATACAATTTATAGAAGGAAAAATAGTATTGGATGTTAGTTCTAGGTTGTATTGTCTCCCGACGCGTTGCGAGGGGAGACAAAAAACCGTGAGCTAAAATCTAATATTTTTCCCGTGTATATAGACTATGGTTTTCTGTGACAGGAAAAAGAACGAATCTATATAATATAACATATTACATTATATTAAAATCAGAAAATTATCGACGTCAAATTAAAAGTTTTTGAATGGAATTACCTCGGTAATTACACCTGCGTGAAGTCATCTTTTTGCAGGCATGTTTCTCATTCTTTTGAAGTAATCGAATATCTGGCAGTCCAATTCTGTGATTCGATTTTGAAAAATTGCGAACTTATTGGTTGTATAGTAATTTACGTAACCGCGAAGTGGAATGGAAGACAGGGAGTTGCAGTTCTTTCTCGGAACTAGCTCAACAAAAGCCATCAACAGTGTGAATATATACCGAGATACTCGGCGAGATATATACAGTGTGTGCGATTTGAACCCGCAACACCCACCTAATTTGGAACCCTTCGACCGATTTTCAAAAACAAAAATTCCATAATATAGTAATCAACGAGCTCTACTCGAAAAATTGGGCAAATCTGAGATATTCAGATTTTCAAGACCTACTTTTGTTTATTGAAGGGGTCACAATTTCAAAAACGACTCTTGGGCAAGGGCAATATGTTTTCAAGACTGCGACTAGCCTATTCGATTTTTGAACTCAATACCTTATATATAGGGTGTTTGGGATCACACGTTAAAAGGTAAAACCCCCGTCATTCCTTGCCCGTTTATTCACCTCTTCATGTGTCTTCGTTACTATAAAATTGTTGGCTATGACTTTATAATTGTTTTTTTTTCTCTCCTTAGCTATGTTACCCATTTATTTTCAAATAGTGATGAAACTTTTATTTCATTTTATTTTGTACTTTAGGCTTGATGATGACCACTAGATGTCGAAACATGTTGCAAAAAGATTAGCAATAAATTGGTGATTTTGAGTGAGTATATAAAAAACAATTTTATGCTTTGGTTGAGGCGAAAAAAATTGGAATTCTACCAGTTTGTAGTGTTTTTGAAACCAATTCATTTCAGATAATTATCGAAATAAACCGAAAATTATAGTTTGGGAAGTTTTTGATAAGACATCAGGAATACCCTCATCGAAATAATTGACATCAGTCATTTTTTTGTTCGATTTCATTTTTATTCTCTTTCTGTTCGTAGACGTACATACGTCAACACTTTTTTCATCAATAAAACCGAATAAAACACAATAATCACAAAATAATTACACTTTTTTATTTATACCATATCAAATTACAGACAATAATATTCATACCGACAGATTCAAACACATACACCATTTTCGATATAACAATGAAAAAAAAGGATTTTCAAAAAAATTCTCAAAAATTTTCATAATTCTATATAATTTTTTACAAATGCATCAAATGCATCACATTGAAAACCACCCTCAAAACATAAGAAAAATGAAAAATGGCATTGTACCAAAAACAAGGTGATGGTAAATTTAATTAGTGAATACTTTATCCCTCTATAGGTTCTCTGAATGGCATTGTTTGTATTGTTTATTCTTGGAAAAAAATAATTCATTTTGAAGTTTTTTTTCACCTTTTTTTGGTACAATTTTAACTTTTTTTCAGTCGACTTTCGCCTTCTCCTGCTTCTCGAACATTTCAACAATGAAAAATATGATGTTCTGCTTCATAACTTTGTTGATATCAATAGTTGATTAAAGTAATTTCAGTGAACAACATTTGGTAAGACTATTAGCGAGACTATTATAGGCAGTGGACTATTAGGAATTTTTGGATCAATTCGTTTCAAAGTTCGTTATGTATAAAAACATGCCTCTAAAACTAGATTCACATTGTTCATCCTATTTCACACTCTTTATGTAATAATTTTGAATAGGAAAAATGCGGAAAAATGTAAGTAGCTATACTCAGAAATCTTCAAATCGAGTGTAATATTTCATCAAACCGTGAACATTTTGAGAATCTAGCTTCGCTCTTCACATAATCAATTAGGAAAATAATTAGGCTGGCATCAATAACAATAGCGAACGCATCACCCTGTAGATGAATCTTTTGACGACATTTTTTAATTGATAGAAATAATAGATCGTTTCCCAATAAGGAAGTGATCTACTTTATTCATAGAGATAACTTTATTATATCACAGAGAAAAACAGTTGAGATTTAGGTCGTTCAGAATATACCTAGGTACAGTCAGATGCAATGAACATGTCCACATGGGCAGTGATAACACTATTATTAGCAGTCAACCGCGACATATTCCATGCGTATAACTGTACAATTACCATCGCAATTACCTATACAGAGAGGTGTTTTTCCGTGGTTATTGAATTTCCACATAATCTGACACTGACCTACAGCAATATTTCCATTTTTGAGCTAGGTACCGTGCTTGAAATGAACTGGAACGTCGTTCCAGTTCGGGAAAAGAAATCTTAAAAAAATGTATGTAGAGGGCCATTCAGTCCCAGACAGCACTGGATATTCCTAGAATATTCTCTAAATATGCTAAAAAGGAGGAGTATATTCCGAATATTCATCGATTATTCCTAGAATATATACATGCCTCTGGAACATCTAGAAGGAATATTCCAAAGTGATGTTCAGGGAATATTCAGGTATGAATTTTCCAGGAATATTCCCAAATGAATATTCTTTCTTGTATATTCATGAAATATTCCCAACTGAATGTTCTGTGGGGTATATTCATGAAATATTCACAACTGAATATTCTTTGCGGTATATTCATGAAATATTCTCAACTGAATATTCTGTGGTGTATATTCATGAAATATTCCATGAATAGTCCTATGTTTCTCAACGCATAAATACCCATCATTATTTCAGAGTTGTGAGTATCGAACATCAAAATTAGATGTAAGGGGATTTTGAAACAAAAAGTGTTTATGATCCGATTTCGAACAACGCTCTCACAAGAAATTGATATGTATAACATCATTCAATTCGTTTACTGGCCTAGTGGTCAAGGCGTTGGTCTGGTAGTCTTAAGGTCACGAGTTCGATCCCTACGAGGGTCACTTTTTTATTTTAGAATATGTTTATTGGAATATTCCAGGAATATTCAACATGGAATATTCTTTTGGATATATTCTATGAAGGGAGGAGGAATTCCCATTCGCATATTTAGAGAATATTCCACAGATATTCCGGAATATTCCAGATTATTTCTAGAATATTCCAATATTCCAAAAGGAATATGATAGGGAGATTCATGGAATATCTGGTGCTGTCTGGGGTGTTTATTATTAGAGACAGAAAAAACTTGTAAGACGCAAAGGTTTTTTGTATTTGAAGTTTTGTCGAGATTTTCAATAATTCAATAATAAATCATGCAGAAACTGTTCAAATACCCATATAAGTACGGAGTGACCCTCGAAGACCGTGTATCATTGCAAAACTTCCCAGTTCATAATAATCTGTAACAAAAGGGTGCCTACAGGGAGGTCTAGGTAATTTTGCACTCATCATCCCATGGTTTTTTTTCCGAAAATGTTTTTTGTTACTTACGTATTTTTGTCTGAATAACACGAATTTGATAATGAAAATGTGAAAAAAACCATTATTCATCAAGATATTTCAATATAAAGTTACAAATTTCACCTTCTTTTCTGCCTGCCTTTTGGATCGCATTTAGAACAATTTGCCTTCTTTTTCCATAATTGGACTATTTATATAATACCATGTACTTCAATAACACATTTTTTATATATAAAACTCATATGAAAGTCTAACGTCAGTCATAAGCAATCTGTTGACATTTGACATCTCGTATTTGGATTGATTATTGATTAAATGGCCGTCATTTGGTATAATTTTTCACTGAATATGAAAAACTCGCAATAAAAAATATTTATTATATATTTTGTAAAGGTTTTTCTATAAAAAAAAGGTGTCATTGAGGTACATCATGAGTAAGTATATATAGTGTCCAATGAAAAAATAAGAAGAACACGTAGCTGTAAATGCATCCAAGACAGGGGGAGAAAGAAGACGAAATTTCGAACTATTTCTTGAAATATCTCGATAAATAGTGGTTTGTTCACATTTTCATTATCAAATTCGTGTTTTTCAGATAAACATACATACCTAGATAACAAAAAATGTTTTCTTCGAAAAAAAAACCATCTAATGAAGTGCAAAATTACCTCAACTTGGCCAGGAAATTCCAATGTTCCAGGTAACTGGGATATCTACCTACCAGAACCAGAACCACAGAAATCCTACCTGCCTGGGTAGACTAGACACCCGAAAAATACCTACATTCATCATCACAAAAGAATTTTTCAGATGTAGGTAGGGTACGATAATGAAATGATTCTGAGCACCAAATCTCCAAGATTTTTCTTTTACATACCTACCTATATTAAATAAATACAATTTCCTCCTACGTCGGGACGTTTTTGTGTATGTACAAAACAAAATAAATAACTCTGGCGTCACTCGCACGCACTGCTCGGTGTCAACGTCCTCGGGGCCCCAGTGTCAACGACATCAGACACCATTTCGACACTCTGACAAGTGTCTCTTCGGGGGGTTTTCCATCGCAATTTTCATCTTGCGTCCATGCTGGACTCACTTTGCGACCCATGGTCCGAGGAACTCGAGCTCGACACGGTTTCCGCGGACTTGATTTTCGGTTTGTACTCGGTTATCACCACCGTTACACTATTCACCGTTACCTCCCTCGTCTGGGCGCTGCTCCTATCGACGTTCTTCAGCCTCGGCGGATGGCGACGCTTCTTCATCGATTTCTTGTCTTTTTTCTCCTTTTTCGGGTTGCTGGTGGCCGGCAAAAATTGGCTGGCCACTTGCTGGGCGGCCAATTGCGGGTTTATCCGCGGCTTTCTTGTGGACGTGCCCTTTCTCACATCGCACATCAGACACTTGAACGCTTCCGCGGTGTTCCTGAACGTACACACACTGCAATCCCAAAAATTGTCCTCGAGAACTTTGGCTGAACGTTTCGCGCGTCGTATCGGCGATTTTTTGTTGTCCATTTTGGCGTAGACACACAATAATCTTAATATTTTGACGGCGACTGACAAATGCAAGGCCGGAGCGACGCCATGTTTGTTTTCGTGAGTGCAGCGCGCGGCGTTGCCGAGTCTAGTCGGTCGAGTTTCCTAGGTTCGATAAAAATCACATTCTTATTCTTGATTTCGAAGCTATGAATAGATACATTCTGTACAAATATGCATGATTCATCGATTTTCCGACACATTGACTATTTTATTCAACTGTAAAACGAATTCCTAAGATGTATTTGTTGATATTTCGATACCAACATTCTGCAACTCAATAGTTTCGAGACAGTGTGGTGAATAGTCAATGTTCTTTCGATTAGTTTATCCAAGATTCCATAACTGCAATAATATCTCGACTTGTATTTTTTGTTGTTGAGGATTCATTTAGTGATCTGGCAACGCTGTTTGAGCTTCCTCCGCTGTACGTATGTCAGATGGCAGCACTGTGATTTCATCTGTTTGCTGGGTGAACAGTGGCGGGGTAGGACACTCGTACAATACATTTAATTTACAATTATTCTCAAAATCTCAGATTTTTTCTCTGTAAGTCTTTCAATTATCGAGGAATTTCATCTTGAATAGGCATTGGACAAAAAATAGGAAATCAAGCATCTTTAAGACAATTGAAATTATTAAAATTCGCGTGACTTCTCTTTCTGCATGAAAATTCATAGAACTTTGGGTCGAAAAATGTGTTTTCCTCCGATTGGCAGCAAATATTAATTTTGCTGACACATATCGATCAGCAAAGTATTACTTTTCCTGCCTAGGCAGCAAAGTGGGTACTTTGCTGCCTAGGCAGCAAAGTGATTACTTTGCTGATTGATATGTATCAGCAAAATTAAAAATCGCTAAATCGTTTATAATTTCCTTCATATCTCATCCGAGACTTCTCTGGCAACAAATTCAACTCTATATTTTTTGCCACCTCCCTTATTAATGGAGGTAGGTTTAAGCATACTTCCAGGTCGCTATCACTGTCCATTATATAATAATTTAAATATACCGATATTTTTTCGCACAACTGTCAGAAATTTCATGAATTGTCAAACCAACAACTGCGATTTCTATCAAATTTTATTTTAATTGAACACTATACAGGAAGAATAAAGAGATTGTGGAAATTGAATTAATTCGCAAATACAATATTCTTCCATATCATCATGAACAATCGGAGAAAAAATTATATGTTCAACTCGGCAGCAAAGTAGATTGACTGCCTTAGCTGGATTCCTAGCCTCGCTACGCTCGGCTATGAATTCAGCCACGGCAGTCAATCTACTACTTTGCTGCCTAGTTAAACAAATAACTATTTGATCCATGTTTCTTCTGAAATGGTATGCCGTTCAATATACCTTGTGCTCAAATTACCTATAGGTATAATTTCATTTTAATGACACCCTGTATATAGGTCAGTGTCTGCCATGATAATTTCAATAGAGTTGCACACATTATTTATGCCAAAATTCACATGATCGATTGATAACAGATTAACGAAGGTTACAGTTAAAGAGTTGAACATTTCGTGACTTGAATTATTTTGTGTAACAAGAGAAAAAAAGAAAAAACAGTTCGACGATGAAGTAGGAACAGTGACTCGACGTTAACACGCACCGTTGTCTGGCTAGATCAATCATCAAAGTTGCCAAATATACGGCATAATGATGATTCTCAATTTCTCATTTACCAGATCACCAGAAGATTGTGAAAATTAGTTTCAGGTGCTGATTCAATTACGTTCCACACATTTATATAATATTACATTTATATCCTACCAAGTATTCAGCTAGTCTGTGCTCGCCTTGACCGCAGATCTCCTGAATTTACCTGCGATCAAGCATCGCCGCATTGCATGGCCTGCTGAGCGAACTGCACCGCATTGCGTGTAAGAGACTTCTTCGTCGCTGTGTTGTGTGCCGTCGCCTAGGGGCCTAGAGTCCTAGATCGTTTCCAATTTCAATTATTTTCAATATTTGAAATATTTCAATATTGAGTGGGACAGCGTACACAACTAGCATGTTTGTACAGGGTGGACCAAAGTCCAAAGTGCGAACACTATTAAAGGGAAAGTTCTTTTTTTTTCAATTGTCTTGGCTGTTACCTAATGGCTTATTTAATTTTACTCTGGGGTTTCTGAATATTGGTATTTTATGTATTGAAATTGAATTTTGAATTACGACTTCGGTAAAAATGCTTACGAATTGAGCAGATGAAAAAATATTAATAATACACATGAAAATAAATTAGATGCGCGTTCATAAAAAGTAGATATTATCATTCTTTTTTTCCCGCTCTTTCCAGATATCAAAACAGATCTATACAAATTTCTTCTACAGAGTGTTGTTTTTTATTCCTATTCCTGTTCAGTTTTGATAGGTATTAGGTATTAAATAAGTGAAATATATACCTACCAATTATTAAAAGGTAGATTATACAAAGTGGTTCAAATTATGACGGAATATGGTAGGTAACTAAGAGTAATTTAAATACACAGGGATCGAGGTGCGAAACTCGTAACCGATTCTGTAAAAATGTCGCAACATTCTTTTGTTTCACGATTTATCTTATTTTCAGTACCAGAATATGATTCCTCAAACATTTTTATATAAAATAGGACATCTTTTATTAGAATTCTGTTAAACGAACCTTTTCGGAGCATTTTTCGTTTTCACATATTATTCGTCAGATGAGTTTGTGAAATTTCGCCAAATTTTTTTTACAGATATTTTTTCAACAAATCAACATCACGTTCAACTCTAATGAAAGAAAACTACATAAAAATGCAGAATTTTAATTATCAAGCTCCATTTTTTCTATAATTTCCTCCGCAATAGGAAACGATTTGTTGGATCAAAAAACCCTTAGGTATGGAATTTCGTGCTTCTACATACAGGGTTTCCCGAAATTACATAGAGAGAATTCAACCACAGACTCTGGGAACAAAAATAGTAAAAAATTTTCATAAAAACATGATCCCAGAAAAGGCACCCTGGGGAGTTATAGCCATCTGAAAGAGGCCCTGAGGGTTGAGATAAGTTTCGATAGCACTCAACATTTTCAAGATAAATCGATTTTAAAAGTCTGCTGCGTACTAAAAATAGAACTTTGTTAATAGGGTACCTATACCTACTATAATATTTTTGAAATTATTCTTTTTATTGTTCCTCTCATATTTTGAGTCAAAGATCACAAGTGAATAGTGAAAAAATGGTATTATCCATCGAAAAATAATTTTTGGGAAATTTTGGTACCCTATTTTTGTTATGGAGCAGTAATATACATGAGAAGTAATATACATGTACAAAATTTCGTTATCTCAGCACATTGGGCTTTTGGAAATATTTACAAAAATACATCATCTCAGGCCCTATTTTTTTTTTTACTATTTCTGTTCCTAGAATCCGTGGTTGGAATCTTTCTATGTAATTTCGGGACACCCTGTATAGGATCAATCTTATTTTTATCTGAAGAATTTTCTCTCGGAGTATACTGGGACACCTTGATTATTGAAGCCCATTTAAAAATGAATCTACTTAATGCTTTTCACGTTGAAAAATCCCAGTTCAGTACTAATTACCTTATGATGGAACTACTTATACTTAACTCTATGAAGGAAACTAGGTTATTAAAGTACCCAGCTCTCGAAGGACATCTATAATACTCCATACTAATATTATAAAGAGGAACAATTTGATTGTTCGTTTGTTAGTTTGTTTGTATTGACTAGGCTCCGAAATTACTTGACCGATTTGAAAAATTCTGTCACCATTAGAAGCCGACATTATCCATGATGAACATAGGATACTTTTTACCACCGGAAAATGCTTCATTCTTACGGGAAAACGGGTAATTGTTCAACGGGTAGTAAGAATTATCCATCCGTACCGTATCTTTTTCACATAACTTCTAAACAGCTGAATCGATTGGGTTGAAATTTCATAGGGGTATTTCGATGGTTTCCGGGATGATTCAAAAATACAATTGGACGTGATAGGTGGAGCTGCTATCGGTACGTCAACTACTAAACGGCTTGACCGATTGGGTTTTCAATGCGTAAAAACCGTAAAACAAGAAAACAAAAACAAAATATACTGAGAGAATGAAAATAGGTGAATGAGTATGTAATAGTAGCTAAAGGTAAGCACACAAAATTTTAAAAAATAACGAAATATAATATGTACTGTCTATACGGGCATAGCTCAGAATGACTGCAATAAATGTCTTATTTTTTATAAATGGGTACACCAACCGTGCGAAGCTGAGCTGACAGCTAGTAGTATATACGATTATATTGGTACATTGGCGAAAATATCATTCGTTACTATGGAATGAAAGCTCTAATTTTTTCGGAAAATGACTTCCTTTTATGTGTATTATGCAGTTTCTCTTAGGCCGCCATTTCTAATTAGTCTAATTACGTGAATTACATGTATTATATCAATTAAATCTAATTGCGTTCAGTACACGTCGAACGCATAAAATGATCGGCGCTTTTTTCAAACGCGGAGAAAACTATACGGCCTCGCGACGGGTCGTGTGGAATACTTCATTAGATCTAATTAAACCGCTAGGCAAAAATCAGCCGCTAACGATTAATTAGTCGCCCTGTATATAGGTCATCGAATAATTCAGAGAATACGGTTCATAGCATTTTGCGTTTTCTACAGGGTATTTCGTTATTTCGAAGTTCGACAGACAACGTTTCACGAGTCACAGTCCTTGTGATTTATTGGAGTATATAGGACAAAATTATTTTTTTTAATGGTAAAAGAAACCGGGTGGTATAATTCAATTATTTATTTATTCCTATAGGAAATAAAGAAAAAATATAAATTCAGAACAACATGGAGAGTATCAATGATAAAAAACCTAAATGCCGACATTTTAATCAATATACCTAATAAGTTCAGTGGAGCCAAAAAGTCTGTACTTCAGTACTTTGTGTTTGCAGTTCTTTCTTTTCGAATTACTAAAAAATCATTCAAGAACCCCTAAACTTTAGATTCAACGGATTCATTTTTGCTACAGGTAGGCAGCTCTCTCGTAATGAACATGAAGTAGGTAGGTACTGAGAAAAAAATCAAATTTTCAAACCCCATGGAAATTTTATAACACAGTATCCAAATCCAAAAACGGTACTATATCACATGGAACATTTTTCATTATGAATATCTGTCGTAAAACAGGTTTCACTGTGAAGTCGGCATTTTATTTTGAATGTAAACATATTTTTTTATTTTGTAGAATTGAAAATGTATACCTACTTAAAAATGTCTTCGAATATTTGATCAGAATCAGAGTCGATGATTCCTGTAGAAATTTACTGCTTCTTACATGATATAATGAAATATTAGAATACAAAAACAAAAAGTTTGAATTTTGGTATGCAGGAAGCCATGATTAAAATTAAATTATAGGTATTGGAAGCAGGTACCTATCCCTAGCAAATCCTAATGTCAGACGAACTCGACAAGCCCAGTCAGCACATCCCGAGGGACATGCATCCTTTCCTCCGCACGATGTTCTTCGAAAAAAAAAAAAACAGGTCATTTCACATAAAATCCAGTCCCATATGATTGTATTTGTGATCATTTCGTAATTGAATTCAGGTTTAAGTATTTGGTAAAACTGCATTTAGCATGCGATGGTTTTTTTTTCGAAAATTTTTTTTTTGGTACTTACGTATTTTTGTCTGAAAAACACGAATTTGATAATGAAAATGTGAACGAACCATTATTTATCAAGATATTTCACTATGAAGTTACAAATTTCACCTACTTTTCCGCCTGTCTTCTGGATTGAATTTAAAACAATTTACCCTTCTTTTTTCATCATTGGACAATTTATATATATCACAATGTAAGCCACATTTTTTTCTATTATTGATTCACTAGAAATATGATTTTCTTGTGATTTATCCATATTTAGTGAAAAGAAGGAAGAATATCATTTGAAATAATGGCGTGTGTAATGTCATTCCAAAGCAATCTATTGACATTTGACATCTCGTATTTGGATTGCCTATGGATTAAATGGCCGTCATCTGGTATGCTTGCTCACTAAATAGGAAAAACTCGCCATAAAAATCATATATCCTGTTGAATTTTCTGTTTAAATATGTGTCAGTAAAGTACATCATGAGTATATAAAGTGTCCAATGACAAAATAAGAAGAGCAAGTACCTGTAAATGCATCCAACGCAAGGGGAAAAAGGATTTGAAATTTCGAACTTTTTCTTGAAATATCTCGATAAATAGTGGTTTGTTCACATTATCATTATAAAATTCGTGTTTTTCAGACAAAAATACGTAAGTACAAAAAAAAATTTCGAAAAAAAAAAACCATCGCGTGCTAAATGCAGTTTTACCAAGTATTTTATTTCAGATATTTGGTGGAATGTGATTGCGCAAAAACAATCAAACGATTCACGATCTACGACTAAGACTTGTGCGATTACGATCGCTTCATAAGTCCTCCAATACTCAATCGCCATCAACATTTTCCAGCCCAGAGTCGGCGCTACTGCCTTTCTCTGCTGGCTCCACTGTCGCGTAGTACGCTGTACGCCGCTCAACGCTCTCTTGTTATCTTCTGCTTATACGTCACGTCAACCAACCGAACCAACTCAGTCGATAAAAACGTTGGCGTCAGCGGCTAGCGTATGACGCCATTGAAATAACGCGAAACGAAAACGACAAAATACCGCCGAACCGAGTAAAAGCATGGTAAAAGCATGTTTTAACAGTGTGAGACAAGTTAAAGTAAGTGTATTGTCATGGAGATAAATAGAACAGTCCAGGCTAGCATTCTGATATCTGAGGTTAAGAAGCATCCCATTTTGTATGACGCTCGGGCGCATTCGAGTTCGAATGCTGAAAGGAAGCGGAAAGCCTGGGAGATGATAGCGGAGAAAATATGCGGCGAAAGTTGGGACGCTTACGACGAGTTAGACAAGGACTCCATCGGTGAGTTGCTAGCCTAAAGTAGGGTCTACCTATGGCGTATAAATAGTACGCGAACGCATTCCAAACATGGCTGCCGTTATCCGTTATCCATTTATTATTATGCTGGGTTTAAGGATTCAACTGAACTGACGATTATGAATTGACAATTTACAGTCCATTAATAATTAGGAGAGTGCTAATATACAACTTGGTATTTCTATACTTTTATATTTCTCAATTAAAATGACAGATGTAAATAGACTTTTTGAAAGGGGGGCAGGTCAACTCATTTGTAAATTTTTCAATACTTTTCGTTTTGAACAAAAAATTAATAATTGTATTGTCTTTTCATTCAAGTATTCACGATATATTTTTTCATCAGTAGGAAATTTCTAAATTCCGAGTTTGAACTGGGACTACTGGGATACAAGAAATTTCATTTTCTATGAGCTATACGCATTCCAACGTGATGGGCCCGTTCCTGTGTATACCGCTGGACGGTTACTTTTATTCAATTTCTCAAGTTCCTACTGAGTCTACTGAGTAGTTCAATTCTTAGTTGAGTTGAATCTGTAAACCAGCAATAACAAAGTTCCATTGAGTTTTTTTTATATTAGAAAATAATTTTATGTCATTCGCGAATCTATTGACATAATTTTCCGTCAATTCAATGAACTTGGTTTTTCCGATTTTTACCACTTTTTTTTGGTATACCTAATACCGTAATATGTATAATACGAGAGGTAAACCTTGGTGGAATTCTGGTGTACAAACAATTGGAATTCCTTGGATGTCCTTGGAATTCCTTGAAATTCCTCGGATTTCCTTGGAATTCCTTAGAATTCCTCGGATTTCCTTGGATTGCATCGAATTCCTTGGAGTTTCTTGGAATTCCTGGTGGAAGTGCGCTATAATTCTGGTATACCTACAAACAACTAGAATTCCTTGGAATTCCTTCTGAAATTAAACTTTGGTGTCACAATTTTGACCGTGGTTTACCTCTCGGTATAATGAATGACTTCAATTCGTGAGAAACAATATTCTTCCAGCCAAGGAGTTTCAAGTCAAATGGAAACATTTGAGGGATAACTTCACGAGGATATTGAAAAAGGAAAAGATGGGTATCGCGATGAAAAAGAAGTATATCTATCATGACCAATTGTCCTTTATTAAGCCCTATATTACCAGCAGACATCATATCTCGTAAGTAATACTTGGTGTTGTGTTACACGAAGTTTTAAGATGATGTTGATAGTAAATATTTAGAAAATATAGAGTGTCTATAGCGAGGTCTATATAGTGTAAGTCTTGATTTTTTTCAGAAACAGTTTTTCTAATGATGATGGAGATAATGTTAAAGAAGAAATGGATTATAGCTCAGACGAAAGAGGGTGAGTATAATAAACGAGGTACAATATATAGATGATGAAATGATGAATAATATTGTTTTACTCTTTTCAAAACTGAATCAATTTTCGAAACTATACTCATGACATGACATTTTGTGGCCAGTATTCCTTGGATTTTGTGTGAAAATATAGCGCTCGGAAAATAGTGTTTTTGTCCTGAAATGCCTTCTTTTGAATTCAAATAAGATTTGTTGAACTTAGTAATGTGCGGTGGGTATTTATTTACCCAGTAGCTGGCTATTTATAAATTGGGTATTTACCATTGGGATAAATGCAATGTCCATACCACCTTCCTCTCTCATAGATAACTGTTAGCTTTTGATAATCATTATTTTCTTGAGTACAACACAACCTATATGATCATTTGTTGGGGTTATTTAGAATATCCATGCTCCTATCTGCTAATCTGTTCGTTATTTGGGCATTTATAATTTTCACAATAAATATTATTAACATTATTCCATAATATTCGATAATATGAAAACGGAGATTTGCAAATCAGCCTTGTGAAAAATTGAAATCGGAACTGTTCCATGCACATTCACAGAAATTCCTCAAACATCATCTACATCAACGAAACGGACGCAAACGAGGAGGTCAAAGAGACCTCCTCTCCCCCATTCCAGACATCCATCACCGGCTCCATAGGCACCTTGACGCCCGTCCAGCTCGTGCAGATCAACCCTAACGCTGCGAAGGTCGAAAGCGCCACTGCGCATGCTCCGAGCGCCAGCGCAGAAGCTTCGAGCTGCGCCAAGGCCGTCGATTTGCTGGCGCGCATCCAGCAAGAAGACAGGCAAGATGACGCGATGGGCAACAGGCGGTTTTTGTTGTCGCTGTTGCCTTTCATGAGGAAGATGACGGACGACGTCAATTTGGAGGTTAGGATGCAGCTGCTCAGTGTCGTACATAATTATTCGCAGAAAAGTTAGGTTATCAGAGTGGTGGGGGAGAAGACGGGGGGAAACTGTAATGTCACACGCACGACGGGAAACAAGTAGGTCATGGTGAAATAGCGTTGGACAAAATAGTGCTGCGATGAAATGGCGCTGCACAAAATGGTGCTGGGATGAAATGGCGCTTAACAAAATAGTGCTGCGTTGAAAAGGCGTTGCAAAAATAGTGCTACAATGAGAGGGTGCTGGACAAAATAGTGTTGCAGTGAAATGGCGCTATGCAAGATAATGCGACATAGCGCACAACGTAGTTGTCTGGGTAGTATAGTACTATGACGAAATAACATACAGAGTGGGCCTTTGAGAACGAAACAGAGGCTCTGTAGGTTGCCAAAACCGGATTATGAAAGCAATCTGAAACACGTCAACTACATTTTCGAGGGGGACATCGTTCTAAAATATTTTCAGCCCTGCGGCGTTGCCGCTTCTAACAAAAAGAAGCAACAACTTTGTTATTTCTAATGGAAAACCTTGTATTTCCTTGCGTTTTTAGATTCTCCCCGAAGAGCTGAACAAATACAGGGTGGTTCAAGATTCAGCATTCTGGTCACCCTGTATTTGTTCCATTTAAATGTTAGTAGATGGTAAATCACAAGTTGGGATAAGGACATGAAAGCCGTTTTTACCAATAATGAATAGTTTGGACACAAAAAAATGCTAAAGTTAGAAAAATCCCAATTTTGAACTCTTTATATCCCTGAAACCATTACAGCTAGACCCCAAGTGTGATGCATTGATGAAATCAGCTCTTCGGGGAGAATCTAAAAATGCAATAAAATACAAAGTGTTCCATTTGAAATAACAAAGTTGTTGCTTCTTTTCATTAGAAGCTGCAACGCCGCAGGGCTGAAAATATTTTAGAACGATGTTCCCTCGAAAATGTAGTTGGCGTGTTTCAGATTTTTTTTATAATCCGGTTTTGGCGACCTACAGAGCCTCTGTTTCGTTTTCAAAGGTCCACTCTGTATAATAAACAGAGAACGCAGATTACAATACAGCCCGTTCTACAAACAAGAAGGGAATATCCATATTATGTTTGCTTAGCCTATTCAAAACCGTCGAAAACAAAATAAATCGATACTCAAAGACAGCTTTCTTTTAGTATCTAGGAAACTGGGTGCTAGATATGCTTGAGTACTATTTGGTCACAAAAAATTATTGATTTATTGTCCAATTATCAGGGTGCAACAAAGATATTATCTAAAAACGTCATTTACCGAATACAGTTATAATTTTTTACTACATATATCTCCTGAATTGAAATTGAAAGTTCTCGAATGTGTTTTTATATTTCGTTGATAATAGTTGAATATTCTGGCTAACAAAATGAGTCTATAAAGAGAAATCTTCAAAGGTGATTGATTTTTATTATAGTTTCTTTGGACAGCAATGTATTTCCTATTGTTTCGCACTTTTTAGAACCCCTTCAACCTTTTCAGGTCAGCTTTCATATCTTTTCTGAATGTGAATTTATCTGTAATATTAGCTTGTAGCTAGTAAATAGTGGATATTATTCATTGCAAGATATACTAGAGGGTTATTTATTTATTTTTAGAAAACTTATAGAGCGATTAAAAATCATGGTGGGATTGGTGAGATAAGTCTGTGATGAGTTGGTTGCACTGTTTTTATAAATATAGTTTGTAAGAAAATTAGTTTTTTTGTTGAATTAAGTTAGCTGCATGTGAATAATTCGAATTTATCCATAGTTTGGATCACTGTTTGACATATTCTTGTTGAATGTTTATTGTGTTCATTCTACTTGAATATTGTTTCAATAAATTTTTGACTTTACAAAATGTTTGTCTTTGCTCACTCAAAATTGCTTTGTTCCATGAAGAATAAATATCTACCTGATCACCCTGTGTTTTCACAAAGTACAGCTGTTGAAATCTTTGAATTTTCCATCCAATATCGAGACAACTAGAATCGACGATGAAAAAAAAAAGAAAAATAATTCACAAAATATGCATTTTACTGCTCAATAATAGATTCGTCGGTATTTTCTCGAAATTGTCGTGAAAATGGGGAACGATTATAAAGGATATTTTCTTTTTTTATCTGTGACTGGAAAAAAGTTTGAAATTTCATCTCTGTTGACAGGTTATAAAATGTCACTATTCTGGTGACTACTAAAGGGATAGTAGCCATTTCCATTCCAGCCACCACCACCCAGGCGATCAACACTGTCATAAGTGTCATTAGTTATTAGTCAGTCTTGCTGTCATGATTTTGCCGCTTCAATTTACAATTACAAGTTTTTAATGTTAAAAAAACATTAAATAAAGTTTGTTTTGTGTTTTCTCGATTAGCCTACGACGAAACCCTTTACCACCCTACAAATTGGCGCCCAACGTGGCCACGATTTGAGGAGCAAAGGCGACTAAATTGCCAGTGAAATGAAGAGCACTGGAGTTGAGTGTTACAGAAAACAAACTTTATTTTATGTTTTTTCAACATCAAAAACTGGTAATTGTAAATTGAAGCGGCAAAATCATGACAGCAAGACTGACTAATAACTAATGACACTTATGACAGTGTTGATCGCCTGGGTGGTGGTGGCTGGAATGGAAATGGCTACTATCCCTTTAGTAGTCACCAGAATAGTGACTTGTTACAACTTTTCATAAATTCGTTTTATCATACGGGAAAAAGTGAGTACTTTTAATACACTGTTGATGGCGTTTCTGGTGCTATGGTTCAGAAAAATGAGCCAATAACACCGTCTCCGAGAAATAACTGCAAGTCCATTTATCATCCATTCGACTTCGCGGTACGTGTTACTATAAATTAATTAAATTACTAAACAACCACTAAATTCGCAATTTTTGAAAATCCAATCACAGAATTAGACCGACAGATATTTGATTACTTCAAAAGAATGATGAAGATGCCTGGAACGCAGGTGTCATGCCTGTTAAAAACTTCAAAGTTCATGTCGATAATTTTCTGATTTTAATATAATATAATATGTTCTCAATATTGATTCGTCCTTTTTCCTGTCACAGAAAAAATAGTGTATTATACACGGGGAAAATATCAGATTTCAGCTCCACAACCTGGTGCTAAAATTTACTACTACTTTTTTCCCTTGTATAATAAGTAACTAGTTTTTCAATATTTTGCGTCTTTTTTGCATGTTACCTGTACAAAATATCCAGGTCCATACGAAGCCCTGGAAGGGACACCTAAAATAAAAATAATAGAAACTTCAAAATTCTGAGTTATAACTAGGAGTTTTGAAATTCCGACTTAATCTCGGAATGTTACTTCCAAAATTCCGACTTATTGAATCTCGGAATTTTGAAATTCTGTGTTATAACTCGGAATTTTGAACTTAAAGATATAAGTCTGAATTTTGAAATGGTGTGTTATAACTCGGAATTTTGGATGAAAAATAAAAGATAAAAGATGGCATAGCTGAGGTGATAAACCGTATGATGGTAGTTTGTGGAGCACCTTGGTGCCAAACGCGGTCGAATGCCTTCGATATATTATACAGCGCTACAGCTAGATTTCCCATGTTTTTCTAATGAAGTTTGCCTTATATGGGTGACGTAGGCAAGTAAATCTCCAGTTGATCTTTGGTGCCAAAAGTCATAATGTCCATAAATTTGATGAGCTCAATGTTGATGGCTCTCTTCTTTTCTCCTTTGTTCAATTACTCTTACAAATTGGGGATATTCCCGTCCAACTGGAAAATTGCAAGAGTATAACCAGTTCCTAAAAAAGGCAAAAAATACCCTACCTAGCAACTACAGACCGATCGCACTGCTATCTATTATTTCAAAGGTCATGGAGAAAGCTATCAACATCGAGCTCATGAAATACCTGGAACATTCAGGTATTATCAACGATAGGCAATATGGCTTCCGTCATCAGAGATCAACTGGTGACCAATGAACTCCTGGTGACCTGCTCGCTTACGTCTCAAATATATGGCAGCAATCTATTGAAAAATATGGTGAAACCTTAGCCGTGGCACTTGATATCTCCAAGGCATTCGATCGAGTCTGGCACCACGGACTCCTCGCCAAGCTTCCGTCTTATGGCTTGCCTCCCAGCTATGTTCTCTGCTAGCTAGTTTTCTCTCAAACAGGTCTCTCCATGTAGTGGTCGACGGAGTTACATCTGACTCTCTTATCATAAATGCTGGTGTTCCGCAAGGATCAATTCTAGCACCAACACTATTTCTACTCCATATCAGCGATTTGTTGGAAGCAACTTCATGTCCAGTACACAGCTCCGCGGATGATAGTACCCTCCATTCCGCCTTCTCTTCCAGGGCTCCAATACCAGCCAGGCAAATCAGAAACGAACGAGGGAGAAATGTTGAAAACATAAATATGAACAATTCGCGAATGGGGCTTGGGGATCCAATAACTAGGTAGATTTCAATGCAAACAAAACACAAGCATGCATTTCCTCTAGAAACATAAGCTTGTCAGGAGTAACCATACCTTTGGAGATATCCATTTCGATGCTTGGTATTACTATCAGCAATAAACTTTCTTCGGAAAATCACTTGAGATCAATTGCTAAAAGTGCATCTCAAAAACTTGGTTTTCTGTTCCGGGCCAGGGGCTATTTCACTTCCAGTCAGCTGCTTATGATCTATAAGGCACAGATCCGACTTGTACTGGAATACTGTTCCCATATTTGGAGTGCAGCACCCAAAAACATACCCTGAAACTGTTGGACTCTGTCCAAAAAAGTGCAATTCGTCTCATGGGTGATGATTCGCTCACAAACTCACTCACTTCTCTGGAACACCGTAGAAAAGTCGTCGATCTGGCTCTATTTTATAGATATTTTCATTGTTAAAGTCTGTTAAAGTCTTGCTACAAAAATATGACTCACCCTGTATCATTTCGATTGGCATTTTTGCTGATATTATTTGTCATACGCTCTCTGACACATTTTCTGATAACTGCTCTAATAAGCAGGAAATAAACTTCAAAAATACGAAGGAAGAGGGCTAAATAAGGTAATCGCCCTGTATATGTATGTACGGCGCCCGTTTCCGATAGAATCGACTTTCTACCGCATTGTTCATTGAATTCAATCGAGTCTGGCTCTTTCTCTCTAGTCTCTCTCTCTCTCTCTCTCTCTCTCAGTCTCCGCTATCCGCTTCGCCCCCTTTGAAAAAAATAATAGCATGCAAACCTTGAGAATATTAATTCGAGTTTCGAAAATATTTTCCCAACATTGTTGCTTCAACCGCTCGACTCCCAGCATTCTTGCAATGCGTCGCGGGTTGCCTAAAGGCACATTTCGACGTTATTTTTGTCAAATTGGATTTTTTTATTGTGTATTCTGGACTGCTATACGCGCTCTACAGGTCCAGAAAATTGAAATTTGTAAATGTTTTGCTCTGATAGCCAATATCTATAACACGACTAATAATGGAGTGTTATTCAACACGTTGACTGCCGCAGTACATAAAAAGTTTTGGCTCCCCTGGGCCATTTTTTCATTATCAGGAAATATGT